CCACGTATCAACAGGGTATACTGCGTTTCAATCCTTTCTCCTTTCTGCTTCTCCCTTCAGATGATAAAACTCTCTGGTCAGGTCTAGGATTCATGTGTTTGTTACTCCAGCCCCTCTGAAGAGCAGACAGAGGGGCTGGACTAACTTAGTGGAACAATACAGTGCAGGTCTGACCCTGGGGGGAGGAGAGAGGGAAGGAGAAAGGGCCAGGTGGAAGTATCTCAGATGGCAATCCAAGTGTGCTTAGAAAGGCCACCAGGGAGTCCTTGAGCCAATGTTGCTATCAGAGAAATCCCAGCTCTGTTGCTCCAAGAACAGGCCTGCCTTAGTATCCCCACTGTGTCAGCCCCTGGTCAGCCGCAGCCCATGGGAAGCATGGCTTCAGAGCAAGTATGGTGACAGATTCCACAGCACAATAGCCAGGCCCTCAGTCTATCACACCCTTCGCTTGGAGATTTGAGAGTCATTTGCTTGCCCACTGTATCGGGGCTTGAGATACTTATGTTAAGGAAACTAGAGAGGTTTCTCTGTCCCCCATGTTCCCAGGCTCTACTGAAGCACGTGAGTCTGCGTGCCTTCATTAGGTCCACTCAACAGCAGGCCAGTGTTTGCAGGGCTTGTAGGCAAGGAGCTCATTCTGAGAACAGGGATGTGAGGCCCAGTCCCACCTGGGGTGAATGGGGCACAGGACCCTCAGTTGAAAAGAGAGGAAGGCACACCTCGTTTCATGCCTTTAGCACTTTGCCTCCTAAAGGAGCCTATACTTGCATCACAGCCTGGAAGTGCCTGGAGTAGCCATCACCCTCCGTAATGCCTGTGCACACAGATTCTAGGACCCTGAGGTCCCTAAGAGACAAGCCCTCCATAGGATTATTCAGCGACTGAGATGGACAGAGCAAAGGTTTGTAAGTGGGCAGTAGTGTGCACCACCCAGGAACTAGCTTCCATCTCTTTCCTAGGAGAAAGCTGCCCTCTGGTGGCATAGCTGACTTTTATAACACACGGAGAAGAAGAGCCAGCTTTGGTCCATAAAAAAAGTCAACTGAGGAAAGGCCTGGCCAAGACTCTGTAGAAATAAACTAAACAAAAACAGTGGGACTGGAGCTCTTGTGTGTTTTCCATTCTCTACACTCTTCCGGGAGGGCCACTAGCACTAACCAGTAGCACTTAAAATAGATGCTATGACCTTCCCAACCCAACCTCGAGGACAGGCACTTGTCTTAGTCTGTTTTGTGCATCTATAACTGAATACTTGAGACTGAGTAATTTATTTTGAACTGGGTAATTTATTGGCTTGCAATTCTGGAGGCTGAGAAGTCTGACATTAAGATGCCAGCATTGGCTCGGTGCCTGTGGCTCAACTGGCTAAGGCGCCAGCCACATACACCTAAGGTGGGGGGTTCGAATCCCCAGCCCAGACCCACCAAACAACAATGATGGCTGCAACCAAAAAATGGCCGGGTGTTG